ATCGAGCTCCTCCCTGGCTGTGGGAGGACATTTCTCTGGCAAACTCTTTTTAAGCCCTTGGGCTCCAGTTCCTGTGGATGCTCCACCATGGCCATGCTCCTTTCCACTCCCTCCTGGTTTTTCAAGCCCTTTTTTCCCCTTGAGCAACTGCCAGCACCCGATGCGAGCGGACAGGCACCCTGAAAGGTTATAGGGGAGCAGACTTGGTTTGGAGAAAAAAATAAACAAAAAAATTAAAATGCAGATAGGGATGCCCAACACACCATTGTCCATCAGATCTCCACCGGGTTTCCCATGCCAGGCAGGAGAGATTTTCCTCTTTCCCACCTCACCACCTGAAGTTTTTTGTGGGGCGGGGAGCGGCCCAGGGCCCACAGCAAGTCAGTGATGGGGCCAGGGGGCCAGAGGAGCTGCTGGCCCCGGAAAAGTGGGAGGAAGGAGAGGGGGGAGGACAAGCTGCCCGAGAGCTCGTGACGCCCCATGCCACCCCCCTCTCGGAGAGCACATGCTGCTGCCTCAGTTTCCTCACTTACAAAGCAGATGTAGTGATGCCCTGAGCTGGGCACTTTCTTTTCTCCCCTACAAACCTCAGGTCTTTGCAGAAAAGGGAAGGGGCTGCCAGGTCCTGCCATCCCAGCCGTGCCCATCCGTGTCCCTGCTGCCGTCACCCCCCGAGCTGCTGTGTCCCTCCTCTGTTTGCCGTGAGGATGCTGCAGAGATTTCAACGTTTCAGTATTTCTGATCCCTTCTCTTCTTCCTTGCAGGTGCCACCTCTGAGCCCGCGCTATTGCCATTCCCAGGTGAGATTCTTCTCTTCAAGTCGCTTGTCTGTAGCAAGTTTCGTAGCTGAAAAATGTGGGTTTTTTCGTTGAAAATGGGGTTGAGAGAATTTCATAGTGGAAGTATCTCGGGCTTGAACAAAAAGCAGCAACAGAAAGCTAACCTTCTTTTACAGAAGGTAAATAGAGACCCTTTATTAGCCCTATTCCACTTACTATGCCAAGAGGGGAATTTTGCCACCTCCTGCTGAGTCCCCGTCCCTGTCCTGTTCATCACACCCAAGCAAATAATTGCCTTGATGGGGAGCTCACATGCCTGCTCCCCATTGTCAGCAGCTTGGGAGACCCCCTCCATCCCGGCAGCACCCACGAGGGACCAGCTCTGGACACCAGACGTGTTCGTTGAGGCTAATAAGAATTTGCTAATTGCGTCTTGCCACTTGTCACCCATCATAATGCCATCACCTGACACCACATGTCTGCTTTCCTCTTCTCCTGTTGGGTTATTGCCCAGGCCATTAGCAGGCAAGACGATGGTGTGGTGGCACGTCTCATTTATGTGTCAAGTCTTCATTTTCACTGCTTCCCATGGATGAAGACGAGCCCATGACCCACCATCAGCTGCCAAACGCTACAGCCCTGCTCTACAGCGAAGGGTCAGCATTTTCTTTAAGGAGCAGAGATTGGATGCAAAGAGGGCTCACACCCTCCCTGTGACACCCCTTAATGGTTGTCACCTCCTTGGCCCCACCTGCTGAGAGACCTCTTTCTGCCCGCCTTCCCAGAGATCCGCCTCGCCAACGGGCCCAGTCGGTGTCAGGGGCGAGTGGAGATCCTCTACAACGGCTCGTGGGGGACGGTCTGCGACGACGACTGGGACATTGTGGATGCCAACGTGGTGTGTCGCCAGCTGGGCTGCGGCCATGCCATCGCCCTCCCTGCCGCTATGACCTTCGGCCAGGGGAGCGGGCCCATCTTCCTGGACAACGTGGACTGCAAGGGCCGGGAGGCAGCCTTGAGCGAGTGCTGGAGCCACGGCTGGGGCATCCACAACTGCTACCACTACGAGGACGTGGCTGTCGTGTGCAACGGTAATGGGGTCTGGCTCACAGAATCACAGAATCTCTTGGGTTGGAAAAGACCTCTAAGATCATCGAGTCCAACTGTTAACGTAGCTCTGCCAGGTCACCACTAAACCATGTCCCTGAGCACCAGACCAACACGTTGGGTGCTGCAAGCCTTGGTGTCTGCAGACGCCTTGGCAGAGCCCAAGACTCATATCTCAGAGCCTGTTGGTCTGAGCTTGGGTCAGTCAAACCTCCTCTGCACCCTTCCTCCACCCCTTTCCTCAATCCAGGTCATCTCCCAGCTTGGCATGTTGGTGTTCCATAAGGTGACCAAGCCTGGTTTTTGTTCCCCGTCACTCCCAGCTCCGGGACTTTGCAACCTCTCCAGCACGATCCCTGGGGAAGGAGCACGTGCCTGCCCACGCTCCTGCCTCTGAGTCAGCCGCTGCCCAACTGCTCTTTCCCCTTTTGACTTGCCTTTCTCTAAAATTGCTGAGCTTTTCCGTAGGAAATGTTCCTAAAGGTGAGAAATGCGTTTGAACGTGGCAAGTGAAAGTGGAACGGCTCCGCGCCGACCCCTATACACCCTACGCCTTCCTCCCACGGAGCGACGTAGGGTTTGCTCATCAGCCATGCACCAACGGCCGGTAAATGTGAGATTGTGTGGAGCTGGAGCTCGGCCACGGCTGTAACTGCTCAGTGAATCCCTGTGTCCTGCACAATTAGGGCTTGTAAAGGGAGGGATGCTGGGCTGGCTGGTTGGTGGGACCCGCAGGAACCAGAGAAAGGAGGTCGTGAGTTGAGCAGGAAACCTGAATCAAGATGCTGCTGGAGCGGAGATGTGGAGGGACTGAAGGAGGAGGTGGGGGAGATGGGTTCAAGGCCAGAGGAGCCGCTTGAGCCCTTTGGTGATTGTAGTTTGGCTGGCAAAGGAGACCAAGAGACGCTCTGAGGTGTCTTTTCGTTAGCAAAACCAGCAGGAAAATCAGAATAATGCTCTTTTTTTTTCTCTATATATGCCATGACTTGGAATCCAACGACTTTGGATTTTGTTTTCCCCCTCGGGTTTGGTTTGGTGGAAAACCTCTTGCTCTCCAGGATGCATCCTTGCTGGCGCTCCCACCCTGGCACCACTGCCCCAGCGCTGCTCGCCCAGAGGGCCGGTTGCGGCGGCCAGCCATGGCAGCCTCCTCTCTGCTTCCCTTTTTTTCAGAGCTCTCGCCCACGCAGGCCAGCGAAGGACCGACAAGCAGGACCCTCACAGCTTCCGTGCAGGATGGGGAAAGTAAGCGGCTCAGCCGATCCTTGCGGGGCCAGTCCTGGCTGAGGGCTGGTAGGGAGCAGGGTCCTCCCTCCCGTCCCACCGTGAAGCACCCCAACCGCCTGGCTCCAAGGGGCAGAGCCTTGGGGACCCCATCGTAGCGTCACCCATGGCCAAACCCTGTCCCAGATGTTCACCGAGGCTCGGGCTGCCCCTTCCCCTCTGTTTCTCATCTGATTTTTTTGCTGTTGTGGGCTGGGTGGCATCACCGTGCCGTGGTGACCTCCTGGGGACAGCGATGTCCTTGTCGCCCCCTCAGACGACGGCAGCATCCGTCTGGTG